GGGATGGCTGCCTCTGCAGGATGCAGCTATCCCTACCCAGCCGGGAATCCTGCCAGGATCCAGACCAGACTAAGACATGAGGTGGGATCCAGGGTGTCTGCACTCATCTGTGTATCCAAGCACCTTGAAACACAAAGCCACACGCCCGCTGACTGCCCTTCCATTCCAGAGATACCTAGATAGCACCTATCCAGCAGCAATGTGAATTTTCATTTTCTCTCTCTCTCTTTTTTCAATTTTGCTTTTGAATCTTCTAAATGAGCCAAAGCTCCCTTGCAAATGAGGCCTCCCATTATAGGGGCAATATAATAAATGAGTGTCTTGGGACCAAACTTTTGTTCTTGGCTGAGCCACAGGTGTGCTTTGATAAGGCCACTCAGCCTGTCTGCTGGAAGGTCTCCTGGCAAAAGATGAGTGTCTGTTTAGCCATGAAACAAAGGAATAGCAAAGACAAAATGACCTTACAACACCTAAGGTGGAATCTCCCCACTTACTGTCTTCCTGGCATTACTTACTCCATCTCAAGTAGGCCCCTCCACCCACATCTCTAAGAGCTGTCTGGCCTCACCGAGGATCCTCACCAGCAGTGGCAGTATGTGACAAGGACCAACTCGGTCACATATGATGCTGGGTTACTGCAAGGAGTAACAATCAGGCAAGTGGTGGTGGTGGCCTTCGTAGACTAGGGCAAAACACTGTGGGTCAGGTGAGGAATTCCAGAAGATTCTGCGTCAGTGAAGGCAAGTCTGTCTCTGGGATATGGCCAGAGAAGCTAGGGGAGTTCTGGGGGCCCAGAAGGAAAGAAGCAGAGAGAAGCTGAGCTGAGCATTTGGCCAGGTGGCTAAGTCATCAGCTGAGAGGCTCACACCCCACACTGAGTTCAACTTCTGGCCCTGCTCCTAGTTTCCTGCAAACATCCACTCTGGAGGTGGGGGATGGCAGCAGACGATGTCTCCAGGACTTGGGTCTCTGCCATTCATGTGGGAGACCTGGATTGAGTTCCCAGCACCCCGCTTTGAGCTGGCCCAGCCACGGGCATCATGGCCATTTGGGGCATAAGCCAGAAGGCAGGACCATGTGTGTGCTTCATCTCCCTTTCCTCCTTCTCTGCTTCTCAACTGAGATTTAGAGATCATTTTCTAAAAAAGAAAAATAGAGAAGCTGAACAATCTCCAAGGGTTATTTTGGGGGGTCTTATTTGTATTTCTTCAGCCATTAAAATCATGGACTCAGGGGACAAAACACCTCATTGGAGATTCATCTCCAACATGTCTTTGTATGAGCTTAGATTATTTCAGCTCTGTGAGCCTTGGAGTCCCGAGCTGCAAAAAGGAGATAAAAAGCAGTACCTTGAGCTCAGGGCAGCTTCCTTTTTCTCTGAGTTCAACTTTGGGATATTAAAGCAGAACAAGTAATAAATAGCCTCTTATACACACCTGGTAAATAGTAATATTGAAGAAAAGGGATAGTATCTTATTATTTGTAATAATAATTACAGCATTTCCAGACAAGATAAGAAACACATATTACAAAATACTGATGATTTTAGAGGAGCTGAATTTTCTAAGTCAAGAGGAAAGAAAAATAAAGACCCAGCAATGAGGCCATCTTGCTACAAGTTGGAAGGCTGGCTGACTGGGAGAAAGGCAAGTCTGTGGTGCACTGGCTCTGGAGACTGTAACTTACGCAATGGATTTCTCGGATTGCTGGACACTCCACTAAAGGGCTGCAGGATCCTGTATGGAATCATTGCGCATCTGGCTTGAAGTCCCGGGTCTGCAGGATGGCTTTGAACCTGCGGCATGCTCTGCACCAGAGGCAGCCTGGTCAAGTTCAGACAAGGCTGAGGCCAACAGAGCAGGCTGCTATGCCAGAGAGTGCTCTGGTTTTCCTCTCAGCACAGATGCCATTTTCTCTAAGCTCAGAAAAACAATTCCTCTCCTGGGATGACACGATGCTTCATGGAGGCAGGCATCTTGGGGCTAGGCAAGCCAGCCAGCAGAGAACAAAGTATGCACAATCAAGGCAGAGAAAGAGGAGAAAAATCAATGAGATGGGCCAGATCCTTGATGTGTGTGTGCGTGCGTACGTGTGTGTGTGTGTGTTTCTCTACTCTTCGGGGAGGATTATGAAAGCTGAGTCTGGACTGAACTGTTTAGTGATGCACTTAGAGGGGATGAACAGCCTCCACTCACTGCCAGATGCATGTAGTCCAAGTACTTACATCCCTCCCACCTGAGGCACGGTTTCCTGAATCCAATGGGATCCATATAACCTCCGATTTCCACCACCACCAGTCTGTAATCTCTATCTGAAAGGCCACGGGCGAGGTATGTTTCAGAATCAGGAATTTTGGAGATTTGAGAAAGGTGATGAGATACCTGCACCAACAAATGGAATGACTCCAGTGGAGTCTGGGAGCCTGAACTCCAACATGATGGTAATTCTGCTCATGTCAGGTTATATAACCAATGGGGATAAATAAAGCCCTGGAACCCTCTCAGGACTGTTCATGTTCATTTTGGAACAAGGTGAGTTAGGAAAAAAACTCTAACTTCAGAGATGGCTTACATTTCAGAATTGTGGATTTGGGATTCCACACTATTCCTTCATTTCCTCTATTAAGCTTCCAGTACATCAGCAGCATCCCACAAGGGTGGACACTGATGAAACGTTACTGACATGCAGCATGATGACAACCTTTAATTTTGGAAGCTTGTGGTCTTTGGGATTCTTCAGGATCAGAAAAATCTGACTGTAAAGAATAGGAGCGAGACCGTGCAATAAATGAGTTCTTGTCATCCCACAGAGTAGGACATGCGAACCCATGCAATAAACTGTGAACCCCATCAGAGTATTGTGGTTTGTATCTAAGAAAAGAAGAAGGGCACATTCCTGCAATAAATGATAATGAACAAACAACCTATCCTAGGAAACGGTGTTTTTCAAAAACTGCTAAAACATGCTAAAAACCATGTCTGTACAATTTCAAACCGATTGCACAGCTGACTGCAATTGGGAACTAACAACAGGGAACATGCATGGTGATAAGCAAGCTAGTGTCTACCAAATGTTTATGTCTCCAGATGCTGGGCTCAGTACGTCATGTGGCTCATCATTTAAAACTTACACAAACTATGTCATAGTGCCTGTTAGGCATCCCCACTATGCAGATAAGGAAGCGGATGATCAGTGAAGATGAGTAATTTGCTAATGAGTACTCAACCAGTATTCAAGTCTAGTGGTATGCTGGTAAACCAGCTATATATGTGTGTGGGAAGGAAGGAGCAAGGGAAATAGCTCTGATTTGTAACATTTGCCAATTTCTCTGGTATAAACACTCTCACCAGGATTGATTTCAAATTACTAGCAGAAGTCCTAAATATTTATTAATTGGTTTTCTTTTTAAAATTGTTTTACGATACAATTCCATAGGCTCTTGGATTTCCCATTCTCCAACCCCCCCCCCCGCCTTAATTGGTTTTCATAAACTTGCTGAAGCCATCTCTACATGCCAAGTCCATTTCATAGACAAGTCCCTAGCTTCTTGTCAATCTTAGAAAATGAACTTGAGTTCATGGAAATACAGCTAGCTTGGGGTATATGTGGTCAGGCTAGCCCAGGCCAGTGGGTCACAGTCATGCTCTTCCCTCACGCCTGCTACAGACCACCAAGGCAAGGATGAGGGAAACAGAGAGCAAAACATATCTTTTCTTCCTTTCTCCAGGTAAACTTCCCTTCATCAGGACATGTGAGTTGCGTTCTTGCCAGCCTAACATGTCCAGGCAGGGCATGTGCAAGACCGTAATTTTTCCCCAGGCCCTAAAGTTTTGTTTTTTTTTTTTTTTCAGTCAGGTAAGGAGGTCAGACTTGAGATGGAAGTCTATAATTCCTTCCCTCTCAGCCCCTTCATACACCTAGTTAGGAAGCACTTGTTCTAAGAGGGAACAAGGCCCAGCTCTTTCAACCCAAGAGATGTTATCCAATGCTAACCTAAGCCCAGTTGAAATACATGCAGGCCCTTGATTCAGTCTCTTTGATTATACCTGCATGTCTCCTGATCACAAACCTCTAGCCAGGGTTCCTATGAAAGGATGACCTGCTAACCCATCAGTAAGCATGTACAAGATTACACGCAAGTATTTGCCATGTGAAAGAAAAAAAATACAGATTTCGTCCCAGGGCCACAGAGATCATCAAGCAGCTTGGTTAAATGACATTCATTCACTCTTTTTACAAGTATTTATCTGGTGTTCATTAGAGGCCAGGCATTTTCCTAGGCACCAGGAAACCAAGGTGAGCAAGGCATATTGGATTGCACTCTGGATGGAACTGGCATTCCAAAGAGACATCATTTACATAGTCACAAGAATGAACGTAATTTAAAATTTTTAAAAACAATTAAAAACTGGGGTGGAAAAGCATGGTGGTTTCTAGGAAGTAGAAAGCAGCTTGGCCCTGAGACAGGTGGCAGAGTTGGTAGGGGAGGAAGTGAAGGCCTGAAACCCTGGTGCTGTGCAGGCCATGCCAAGGCTTTGATCCTTAAAGCAAGGTAATGGAAACCAGTGGAGGACCAAAGCACAAAATATAGATATCAGTTCATTCAATGCTGCAACCAAGTAAAGGAAGTGTTGCTATTACAAGGGCATCAACACGTTGAAAACACTGTGATTATGGTATGGGAGACCAGGGAGATGTGAGCTGGGCATTTGTCCAAATAAGGTCTGGAGGAGGAAATAACTGAACTGATTTTTAAAGGGTGAGCATGACTTAGCCAGGCCACAGTAGAGGGGTGGAGAAAGGAGACAGAAGGCAGCTGGCAGCTAGATGATGATGGGGGAAAGGCCTGGGAGACTGAGGCTGTGGCAAGAGTTAGAGGAGGAGCTATATAAGAGAAAAGGCAACAGGGTTAGGCAGGGAGCAGATGATGAGAGCCTCACAGGGCAGGTAGGAGGCTGGACACTACTGACCAAGCCACGGTTCTTCAGCAGGGAAGTGATCTTCAGGACACAGAGTTAGGAAGGCCACCAACATCAAGACTGGAAGTGGACTGAAAGGGTGTTGTGCTGGAGACGAGAGGCCGCTGCTATCCACCACAGCTGCTCAGGTGAGAGGTGGAATCAGGCAGGCATGAGGGTGGCAGCAGTGAGGGCGGAGAGAGAGGGGCAAACATGAAGGAGTATTATCACCAACTGGATGGGTGGGAGTGACATCTACTCTACCCCATGTGGGGTCTACACGAAACGAGTTTTATTAGTTTGAGGTTTGTCTCATGACCTGGTACATAGTCAGTGCTTAGAAATGTCCTGTGTGTCTGTGAGAAGAATGGTGTTCATTTGCCAGATGTACAGTTGTCTTGTATGACTACAATAATTCACTTAAGTGTGCCACTAATGCATTTGAATCTTCTACAACCTTATTAATATTTCAGACATGTTTGCTCTATCATTTTTGACAGAAATGTATGATAATCTCCCAGCATCTCTGTGGATTTGTCAGCTTCTCCTTATACATTTTTCCATTTTACTTTAGATATATGTTGAGGCTATGTCCTGAGGTTAGGTCATTACATACACAGAAGGTGGAATTTTTTATATTTATCACCTTATTCCACTCATCATCATCCTCTGATCCATTTTTTCCTTAACGATTCTCTTTGTCTTAGACTGTAGGTCTAGCATAGCCACTTCAGGGCCAGCAATTTGCACAGTGGATGAAGTCACTACCTGTGACACCAGCACCCCATATCGGAGTACTGCTGGAGTCATGGATGCTCCACTTCCCTTCCAGTTTCCTGCTAACGTTTCTAGGAAGGCAGCAAAAGCCAAAAAAGTCTTTGGGTCCCTGCTACCATGTGGAGACTGGGATGCAGATTGTGTCTTCTGGCTTCAGCCTGGCCCAGTCCTGGCTAGTGTAGTCATTTGGGTAGTAGAGCAGCAGATGGGAGATCTTTATTTTTTCATATATCTCTCTCTGTCTGTTGTTCTGCTTTTCAAATACATAAATCTTTAAAGAATACAGTCGTATCAACCTTTGGGTTTTTTTTTTTTTTTTACTAACATTTGCCTGGATTCTAATTTTTATCTTTCTACTTTACTTTTTTATTTTTTTAAATTTATATTATTTTCTTATTGCAAAGGCAGATATACAGAGAGAAGGAGACCCAAAGAGAAAAATCTTCCATCAGCTGGTTCACTCCCCAAGTGGCTGCAACAGCCAGAGCCAGGAGCTTCTTCCAGGTCTCCCACATGGGTGCCGGATTACAAGGCTTTAGGCTGTCCTCTACTGCTTTTGTAGGTCACAAACTAGGAGCTGGATAGGAAGTGGAAGAGCTAGGTCCCAAACCAGTAGCCATATGGGATCCCAGAAGATGCAAGGTGAGGATTTAGCCACAGGGCTATCACACTGCATCCTGCTTTATTTTTTTTTAATTAAGTAATTAATCATTTCAATCCATCTGAAAGGCAGAGAGACAGTGAAAAACAAATAGGGAAAGAGACTTTCTATCCACTGGTTCATCATCGAATGCCTGTAATCGCCAGGGTGGAGACAGGCTGAAGTTTAGAATGTAAAAGCCAATCTATATAATATGGAAGGCAAGGCCCCAGCTACATAAATGATCATCTTTTGTTTGCCAAGGTATGATCAGCAGGAAGTTGGAACCAGAAATGGAGCTGGTACTCAAACCCAGGCACCCTCACACAGGTTGTAAGTGTCCTAAGTAGCAACTCAAGCATTACGCTTAGTGTCCAATTTAATCTTCAACCCTTCTGGGTTCTTTAAATGTCTCTTGTAATCACAGTGTAGGTGGACTTTTTAAAACTCTAAGTTTAACAAGTCTAGCCTATTGACATTTATTGTGTGATTATATTTTATAAATATTATTGGATTTATTTCTGCCACCTAATCCTGGTCAACTAAAAAAAATAAGGATTTCTTTTTATTTGAAAGGCAGATTTACAGAAAGAAGCAGAGACAGAGAGAGAGAGAACTTCCATCTGCTGATTCACTCCCCAAAATGGCCACGATAGACAGAACTGGACCAGTGCTGGGCCAGTGTAAAGCCAGGAGCCAGGCACGTCTTCCAGGTCTCCGATGTGGATGCAAGGACCCGAGGACTTAAGCCATCCTCTGCTACTTCCTAATCCATAAATAGGAAGCTGAACCAGAAGTGGAGTATCCAGGACACAAACCAGTGCCCTTATGGGATACTGGCGCCACAGATAGAGGATTAGCCTATCAAGGCACCCTACCAAACCCTAATTTTAAATTTTCATCCTTTTCTTTCTGGATTATTTTTGAGTAGATGCAGTTTTATTCAATCCATTTCACTTCCCTGTCCCTACCAACTGTTGGCATAATTAGTATGGTCTATTTTTCTTTTCAATAATTGCCATTAACATTTAATATGTATTATTTAACAAAAATGTAAGTTTAATTGCTATTTCTAAGAAAGTGTGCAGGCTTTTGGATGATGCCAGTCACAGAGACACACAGGATGGACTACTAGCCTATCTGGAACCACAACAGGGTCCTGTTCTGTGTTTGCTGGCCTGGAAGGCTTACACATCTATCTGCCTTTGATGGCTTTACACACTTTGGAAAAAGACCTCCTCTCTAGGTGTTCTGCAATGCTTAAACAGTGTCAGAAGTTAAAAGCAAAACCAAACTAACAAGTGTCAATGTCTTCCTTCCTTGGGTGCTTAGAACCATGTCCCTCCTGCCCCCAGCTTAATCATCAGAGCCAAATGGGGCATGATGGCTCCTAGAAATAGCATGTTTCACAAACGCCTCTCCAGTAACTGTTACAGCAGCTGAGAGCTGGGTCTGAAGTGGATCCATTCATACAAAAACCACAACTCACCTTCTCTGAAATAATGGGGAGAGTCTAGTTCATCTCTGTTCAATATAACAGGAGATGACAACATTCCATTTTTAAAGCAGTTTAAAAAATTATTTAAAATGAAGTACTTCATCACAGCTGGCCTGGATCACACCAGACTTCAAGTAGCTGAACATAATCAGTTGAAGCATCCTTCCTACAGGGATTCATTTTTATGCTTTAGAAGTGCTACCGTGAGTGGTGTACCCTCTTAACCTTTCAGATAACTCTGGCAAAAGGCAGGGTGGGAACTGTTAGAGGAAATGTCTGGGATGACTTGCTTAGGTTCCAGAGTGAGCCAGCGACAGCTGCTGGGCTGGTCAGTCCCCACCCTGAGTGGGAACTGCTATGTCCCTGGGTCAGCGACACAGTCTGGGCAGCCTGTTGAAGTGGCAGAGACCAGCCTGGCTCCCAGAGGCCCCCCGCAACCAAGTACGTCAGCCTCAACATGGTCGTCCCCCTAGTCTCAGTGTTCTCACTCTGGGTCGCTGATGAACCAAGAAAATCCTCTGGATTTCCCAAAGCCTCGCCAATGCACCACATGTCCACGGGCCAAGCTTAGTGCACAGTGATGACATGGGGGCCATGGAGCTTGTTCTGCAACCCTGAAAGCACACAGATAATCCCCTCCCCAACAGCCAATAAAAAGAAAACAGTCACGAGAAGCAGAGCTCACATAAACTTCCATTATGCTTAATGCCTGATTTCACTGAGTTAATGGAGCCACTTATCAGAGCAATGTGTATAAATTCCCAAGGGCCTGCTAAGGTGGCTGTCTCCGAAGTTTTACTGTGTCACATACTTCTTCTTGAACAAAGAATGGGTTGCCAGCCACAAGTTCTGCAGGGATGAAGTGGAAGCTGTATGATAGGCACACATGTGTGGATGTGAGCAATCGTGTGATCCTATGGCGGGGCTGGTGCCTCGAATCTCACTGGGTCTGGGGTACATCTCTTCTTCTTCATCTCAGTAGGAGAGAACCAAGAACATGAATGGACAAAGCCAAACCCATGCCTGACACTTACGGAACAACACAAGGGAGATTAGGGGCATCACTCACGATTGATTGTCAATGCAAATGACTGCTGTACAGTTCAGCAGCAACCACTAGGGTTATTGCTCCTGTGTAGAACTAAGTATATAACTCAAAAGCTTTGGGAAAAGATAAACAGGAGGGAAATGGGACCTGGAAATGCCCATGTGCCAGTGGAGAGATGATGGGGGTGTACTTGTGTCTAGAAGATTTGCTCTACTATACTTCAGAAAGGGGTCCCAAAAGGACTGGGGTGAAGAGCCCGAGCGTGTGACTAAGGGACTGGGGAGAGACACAGGCAGGCAGAGAGTTGTCATAGACAACAGAGCAAAGACAAGTGTTCCGAAGAGGTTGTGAGGACCCGGGAGGACACTGCAATGGGCTGTGCTGGGTAACATCTTCAGTCCTCCCTGTGAAAGCGATGCAGGGAGACAAATGCTCTGTCCTTGTATTATGTGAAAAGAACCAGACTGAGTTCCACCAGATGAGTATGTGGAGAGAATGCTGGGGAGGGCGCAATGCTAAAGTCCCTCCAGGAAGGGCCCTTGGAGGAACCTCTATCAGTAGCAGAAACTAGGGCCAGTAACAGAGTCCCTGGTGGCTGCACTGTCTCAGTAGAAACATACACCAGAAACATTAAAATGCTAGGAGCAGAGAGGACAAAGGGAGGCTTCCAACAGGAGCCCCGATTTCAAATTCAGTAGGATGAATGATCTTTCATGGTGACGAAACTGCAGTGACAGCAGCTCCCTGAGGCTGCCGATGGGTGAATGAAGGTTAGTGCAGGCAATGCAAGGAGGCAGGGTCATCTCCCAGGTTTTCAGTGCTGGGGGATCTTTGGGAAGGAATAGGTGTGGCGCCTTGCTAGGAATCTAGCACAGGGGCAAGGGCAAGGCTGCCAGTGGTGGTGAATAACGGAATCAGTGACAAGTCTACAGGAGCAGACATCTCTGCCAGGCAATGGAGCAAAACAAAAGAGCAAGCTGGGACTCTGCTCACAGACGCCCCCTGGGGGTCAGTTCCACCACCTTCCTGCTGTTGACCTAGAACAAGCCATTGCACTAGGCCTAAGCTCTGCTTCTATTTTGTAGAAGATGAAGATAACATCCATGTCTGCCTGCAAGTGTTACGGTTAAGTGAAATAAGAGTTGACTTGGAGCCCAGAATACACTGATGATAACAATCACTGTTGCAATCACTAGACCACAAGGGACTTCTGGACAGTCAGCACCTGTCCTTACAAGGTGAAGTTTGCACATCTCCCAGCCTCACTTTAGTCTCTTTATTTTACACTCTTTATAGCCACCCAGCAGGCAAGGCTATGCTTTAACATTCTATCACTCATTAGCTTAGCTTTTCAATCCACATAGATGTAACTGATGCATTTACATAAATTTGATAACTTGGTAAATAGTGAATATATACAAGGTTGGTAGCTTATAACAGTGGAGTTGAAAAAAAAAATAACAAAGGAGTTTGTGCTTTCTATGTTGCAAGTATGTCTCCTATTGGAAAATAATTACTGATGACCAGTGTGCAAGGGGTAGATCTGCCTTTGCCGTGGAGTAGAAGGCTGTGGGAGAGCTGGGAACCATGCAGCCACCAGGCACAGCCTCTATACAGCTCGGGATCAGAGCACTGCCTGAGTGCAGTATCTGCTCTTTAAGAGTGCAATTGAATCAGCCTGGAGCCCTAGTCCTTCCAGCAAACACAGAAAGTTTCCTTTGCGCACTAGTCTCCTGCTGCCCCCTCTCATGTCCCCGAAAAGCCTCCTCCGCCTTCGCTCAGAGCCCCAGAGTGGCTCCCTGCTGCACGGGGCTGTGCATACCCAGTCAAAACAGTGTGAGGGTGGACAGCAGGGCTTCGGCCTGGCCTCTCTGCTCCTGTGGGTTTTAGCTAGACCCAGGGTGTTATTTTAGAGCAACTGCAGTGTTTAATTTGAGGATGTGTGTGGACCAGAAGGAGGGACCCAAACATGATTTTTTTTCCCCTTTCAGCCAAATGATTAAACATGAAGTTCCAAAGAAACGCGCAGCTGGGTCCAACGCTATATCCAATCAGAAAGGGAGAAATACCCCCCACAAGCCCCTCCCTCATCGGGGCCCAGCCTTGTCTAACCAGCGGCCACCTTGCAGGCATCACCTGGGCAGTCTGTGCTCGTGCCCTGCCCTGTAGGCTGGCAGCTGAGCCCGTCCCTCCCGCTCAGGACACGCACCGTGGGCCTGCACTAGGGGAGCATTGTACAGATCTATTTCCTTTCTTACAGTGGTGAGCTGGCTGCCACCATGGCTGAGGGAGAAGTCACCACCTTCTCAGCCCTGACGGAGAAGTTCAATCTGCCTGGAGGGAACTACAAGCTGCCCAAGCTCCTTTACTGTAGCAATGGAGGCCACTTCCTGAGGATCCTTCCAGATGGCACAGTGGATGGGACCAGGGACAGGAGCGACCTGCACAGTAAGTGCCCGGCTTGGCTGCACGCCCTTGCCCGGCTGGGGTTCCTTCTTGGTCAGGGACTGGAGGATCTCTATGTCTCTGCTGCAGCAGGACATGCTCACAGGTAGCAGTGACATACATGTGTCAAGGTCGGGTTTGGGAAGCAGGTGGCTGTGTGGGCCACTGCTTTCCTAAAGGTGTCTGACTTCAAGTTGTGCAAAGGATGATGCTGCCCTAACCAAGCTGGCTGCCGGTGTCCAGCTGCTGTGCGTTTCCTCAGGTAGCTGTAGCTGGCAAAAGAATCAGCCTCCAGCCTGCAAAGGCCAGCCAGAGGCCCACCTGCTCTCTGAAAGTTGTGCAGGGTTGCCGGAGCTGGTCGAAGGGGAAGCACTAAAATCCCACACAAAGCTGTGGGTTTCATTTGCAATAAACTGATTTCCTAGGTTGGGTTTGCCCTGGGCCTGGTTTGCAGGGTCCTCAAGCATATGCAAAGACTCACACAGCATAAATTAGACAGTCCTCCCTCTGCGTTCACAGGCAGACGTGGTCCCTGAGAGCAGCAGGTCCTGCTCCAGGCCTCGGGGAAGCTGGAGAGCAGGAGCAGCCGGGCCAGAGGCTGAGAGCCTCTCCCAGGCCTAGCTGGCAGTCAGCTCCCAGAGGATGCTCACAAACGAAGCAGGAAGCATCCTCTTGGCTAATGGCACAGTTCTCTTCCCTGCACCTGGGGACTTTGAGGGCAGGTGTAGATGCTGGAGATCTGGTGTCTGATCCTCTTGGGATGCTGCCACAGAGTCTGAGTGCCACAGAGGCACTGGATGCCACAGAGAAGCCTCAAGTTGGACCATCAGGCTACTTTGAGGCTGAGAGTGTCCAGGGCCAGCTGCGCTGCAAATCAGGGGCAGGAAAGTGTGGGCGGGATCCGGAAGAGCCAGCGTAGGCAGGAAGCTTCTGTGGGACTGGCTTATGGACCAGGTGCTCTTAATTATACATGCGCCGTGTGCCACGGGCTGCAGGCTCACAGCACAAAAAGAAACTTCAATGAGGCACACTGCTTGCCCTTTCTTGTACAGGGATGGGTAGCAGAGACGGGCGTGGTAATAGACATCAGGAGACACCGTCCCTTCCTTCCCACCTGCCGGGTAGACCACTGAGATGAGGAATGGGAGAGGCTGCAGCCAGGCCTGCAGCTGCAGGGTTCAGGGCTATGAGTTTGGAGCTTTGGCTGGCTGTTGCACCTTCACATGCACTGTTGGATGACTGAGATGCAGTGAAAAGAGCAGCTGCAGAACGAAGCCCCTCAAAGCCTCCATACCCACATAAGCCAGGTTTACTGTAAATAGGTAGACGTGCATGGTGGTCCATATTCTAAGGCCTCTGGATTAGAACTCCCTTCTAGCAAGTCTTGCCACCTCTCTGAGTCAGTATGGAGGCTCTCGGGTTCTCAGAGCCCCAGAGCAGGAAAACATTGGGTGAAGCACTCCTTGGGGTTCGTGACTCTTGGGAAGCTGAATCCCAAGCTCCCAGGAGAACACCATGCTGGCTTTCTGTACAAACAGCGGAGGGCTGTAGTTGTTCCGCCATCAGCACTGGGGACTGTAAGCAGGGTATTTAATGCTGGAATGACCTCTCGGCTCTGCTAGGGATTTGACCTCCTGACCCTAAGGCATCAGGAGCCCTGGGAACAAAACACGGCACTGCTTCAAGAGGTTGTGAGGGCAGCTGTAGCCTGGTGATGCGGGCAGCTTTGCCCAGTAAGTGTAGGCAAATGCCAGAATCTTCCCGGCCTCACTAATGCCACAGAGTAAGAACACCAGTATCACTGGCTTCATTGCTCTCTGGGGAGGATGAGATACTAACATGGCTACTGCTAGCAAAGATCCTGGTTCAGAGTAGCAGCTCAGCCTGGCTGGCCAACGCTGCTACTCCTGCTGCGGCTCCATCAAGACCCCATGTGCCCAGCCCAGCTCAGGGACACACAGCACGGCATGAGAGCTCTCCTGGCCACCTTTCGTGCAGAACAAATGGCTTCCTCCAGGAAAGATGAAGCTCTGCTTCCAAGCTTCTCTGCCAACACTCAGAGACAACACTGATTAACTTGCTTACTTTGGAATTAAAGACTTGGGCCAGGAGGACTGAAATCAGAGCAAGTGGCTGGGTGGCCAGAGCTCCATGCCTGCTGATGCTGGGGGAGAACTCAACAGAGTCAGGGTATCTGGAGTTAGAAGCTGGGGGGGTGGGGGCAAGCTGCCCCTTCCCACTCTGCATACACTGCTATGCAGAAGCCTGGGGCACTTCTTACCATCCTCTCTGGTCTAGAAATGTTATTGTCTCAGGGTTCCAGCTGTCTGACCCTGGGGAACAACTGCTCATCTCAGGGGACTCAGTTTCCTCCTATTGTGGAACAGGAATAATTCACTGCTATGGGCTCAGAGTTAAGATCTGCAGGAAAGGAGCAGTTCAGGGCACAGCCTTGGATGGGGTTCTGTCGCCCTCTTCTGTCCAGTGACAGTACTGCCGCAGGCAACCTGAAATCCAAAAGGAACATGGAGAAACAGACTGAGCTCTGGAGGGAACAATGAGCTAGACCCCACCTGGGAAATGGCAATGCACCCAATGTGTTAAGAGGGTGGTCCTACTCCTTGATCGCTAATTGCAGGATGGCTGGAGGCTGCTGACAGGTGCATGGTCACACCCTGAAAGCCAACGAAGTACAGGCTGTGGACACCTGTGACGTGGCCATCCAGGCTCAACCAGGCAGAGTTGTAGATTTGGACACCTGTGGGTGCAATCTCTAAGGTTCATGTTCATTCCTCAGGTTTGGGCTAGGGGAGACAGATACACAGTGTCACTCTGAGACAGAGGGTCCGGGGGCAGCACAGATATAGAGCAGGACGGCCAGCTCCCTCTTGGACACAGAGCATAAGGGCAGTGTCGCTTAGCCTGCAGTCTGTGGCTGTGGGTATCTATGCGCGCACATAACGGACGTCTCCTCTAGGACACTTTCGAAGGACACAGACCTTGTGTCTGCCCAACACTGCAACTGTCTGTGTCTAGTGAACTGCCTGCCCCTGGCTATAAAGATGCACAAACACTGATCTGATGGCACTGGCAGTAGCTGCATTCGAACTCAATGACAGATTCACTAAACAGCTCCTGAGCACCAGCAGGTGCCAGCCTCGTGCCAGATGCTTCATTTCCAGCTGACCATAACCCCGTGAGGTTCCTAAGCGTCAACACACTGAGAACAGTTGTACCCACAGGGGCAGGGCTGCATCCAAACCAGAAGGTTGGGACAGTAACTTCTGGATGTGCCTCAGTTTCCTCATTAAAACATGCATTTTTCCCCCACTATTATTTGTTTGAAAGTCAGAGAGAGACAATACGAGAGCACTCTCCCATCTACCTGCTCACTTTCCAAATGCCTGCAGCAGCCAGAGCTGGGCCAGGGCCATGGCAGGAGCTAAGATTTCAGTCTAGGTCTCCCAGGTGAGTGACAGGAACCCAACCAGCCAAGCCACCGTCTGCCACCTCCTGGGTGCATGACAGAAAGAATATGGAATTGGAAGCCAAATCAGGACTTAAAGTCACGTAAGTGGCAATTTAACTACCTTACCTGACGCCTGCCCTAGCTTCTTGTCTTAAACATAAGAATGACAATAAGGCCCGTCTTGTACCAAAGTAGGAGTGTGACATATGATGATGCTTATAAAAGAGGTCAGCACACTGCCAGGCACAGGGTAAGGGCTCCAACAACAGGATCTGCCACCTTCTCATCTTCACCATTCCTCAGGCACACCTGTCTTCCTTGTCTGTCTATGCCATCTCACGGCCATCAGAAGAATGCCATGCTTGTTCAGAGAACTGAGGGTGACTTCTCTGGGATTCTGTGGCTTGGAGCACCGGAGGCTTGGCACACAGGCACAACAACCTCCTCGGGCAGAGGCAGCTCTGCGTCTGATTCTGCTCTGTGTGTGGGCGTTTCCTCCCTGCTGAAGGGGCCGGTGACATTTTCCTTCATGGGCTTCATACCATAAACAGTAACTGGAGGGCAACAGATGCTCCTAGGCCTGCCAGCCCCGCAGGGCCTCCCCTCCCGCAGCTCCAAGCCCAGGCCCATCCCTGGCAGGCAGGATTCCGGGCACCGCTCACTGCATGGAGGGAAATGTGCTGGAGCTGAGCGTGCGCCAATCAAATATTTATAAATCCAGCCACATCCTACAGGCACTGGGGAGCCAGCCGGTCGGAAGATTCCGACTCACAGCCCTTTCTCTTAGGCAGACAGCACTCCCAGGGAATTCCCCTTTTGCTCTGGGGGAGTCCAGATGCTTTCGGTTTGGTGTGATAAGACACAGCCCTAGTTGGGCAAGGTTCTGCTCCTCACCCCAACAGCCCAGGCCCAAGTTCAGACCATGGCAAGCAAGGAGCCCAGAGCGGGCAACAGCTGCAGCAGGGTCTGCCCTCCCCAAAGGGTGTGTCAACCTTGGCCATGTGTGATATAAAGGACTTCCTGACCCTGCCACCCACCGCCTCTTTTCTGATCATGCACAAGCATTCTTTTGGATTTGTTTAGGTCTCTAGTATTTACACCAAATTCTCCAGGCACTTAAGGGAACAGAAACCTTGATAAGCTTGTGAAAAAAACTTTTCATACATACATGTGCACAGATGCAAAAACACATGTGCACACTAAGCATACTTCAAAAGTCTGCAGAAAATCCAAAGACACGCTGGTTTTCATGCAGGATCATTTTGAAATCTGTGCATATCTTCTCATGACACAAACTTTTTACGGGCCCTCTGCAGGCCCTCGGACATATTCTAAACTATTGGATTTTTTTTGTCTCCCAAGTCTAATTCCCCAGCCATCTCCATCTTCAATGTTTCCTGGAGCTCAACTTGGGGCTCTGTTTTAATTCCAAATGTCCCTGGACACAAAACCAGCTCAGTGGGTTCTCAAGGAGGCTGACCTCACTCTGCATAAACACAGTAGAGGACGGGAAGTCTCCAGCCCAGAATAAACC